TCGATCAGTGCCCTCAGAGGCTCCAATCTCGGTCCATACACCGCCTTCAAGGAGTCAAAGAATTCCTTGTGTTGACGGCGTTCGGCGTAACATTCCATCTGCTTCGCCTTCTCCGTCCACCATGCATTTTTAATGCGACGGAGCTCTCGGGTCAGTCGCCGTCGAAGTTTGCGAAACTGACTACTCTTCCCCAAGTCACTGGGGTGTGCCACATGTGCAGCAAATGCTGCATTCTTCTCTAATACCAATGCGCCAATCGTCACATTGTTGTCATCAAACCAATCAGGCCGTTTACAGTTAGCGCGCCCGATGGTCTCCTCGGCAGCAGCTGTCACCTGGTCGCGAATGTGGTGCCACAGGTCGCCCACTGTGGCTATGCAGTCCACATCACCACACAGACGTGCAGCCATCGCCTTCTCCAGCTCAGTACGTTTCGCCACAGTACCGAGGGAGAGAATGTTAAAGTTACGCCGATTCACGGCGTATATATATATATATATATATATATATATATATATATATATATGGTTGGCGGCATCCGGTTTCGGATTTGCCTGTCACTGTGGCCAGACACACGACGCCTGCGCCTACAGAGGGACCATGGATGGCTTGCGCTGCACCACCCGCAGCTTTAACCACACACCCCCCATATCCAGTGTAAATCCGAAGGAATAAGACCGGGAGGCATGTGGATGGGAGCCATGTTCCATCAACGGAGCCGGCCCACACTCCTTCACAGGCAAACACAAGCACACTGTATTCGGGAATCAAGCGCACACAAGGCGTTGGCTGGACCGTAGTCCGCTCCACACTGAGTGCATGGAACCACTCTGTGACCCTAACACGGCCACAAGGACCGTGCACCCTGTCCACTCCAGCAACGACCAACTGTCTCCTGGAGCCAGTATGGACGATGTAGTGGGTAATAGATAGGTAGGCACCTTGTCAACATGCACATCAAGCGCATCCACACCGGGGATATCAAACAACAACCAAACACTTGAAAGAGAGAAAGAAAAAGAGAAAAACTCGATCAATGCATAAGGAAACGGTGATATAAACCTTAATTAACTAGCATATGTAATAGGTTGTTTACAAACAAATCCTAGCTAAGTGCACGAGGTCAGAAAGTATAGTTCACGGAATGCCACGAACACAAATAAGTTATGGAAATTGAATACAACTGGCTTAGGCGATGTGTGCAAAATAATGGAATAGAGTACAGGGAGATATTTATATGAGAAAGAGAAGCATTAAGGTAAAAACTGTAAACCCACCACCTGAAATAAAGAGACTTAGCATGCAAGCACGCGGTTAGTAAATCGAATTCAGCGTGCCTACAAACGCTGTGCCGGCTCGCCGCAATTCTCTGTAGGACCCGTCGTCGCTTCTGTAGTGGCCCCTAATGGCATAGCTCATGGCCCGCTAGACATTTATATGAGAAAGAAAGGCATTAGGAGAGAACCGAAAACCCACCACCTGAAATAAAGAGACACAGCATGCAAGCATGCGGTTAGTAAATCGAATTCAGCGTGCCTACAAACGCTGCGCCGGTGTTGCCTACGTTCACTGTGGGACCCGTCGTCGCTTCGGCAGTGGTCCCGAGTGACCTCTCTCATGGCTCACTAGGCCTGCCTGACTAAGGCACTCGCGACCGCATGTTCTACAGCACCATGTGCTCGATGTCGATGGAGGACAATTCATCGGTGCCTGCCGTTTCCGCAACTGTCGCTTCTTCTCTGCATGCATGAGGGCTTTCTCCCGCACTTCAGCAACTGCCTTCGTGATTAGATCGCGCCATGCACGCCGATCAACCGCTTTCGATTCCCATGATCTGCAATCAAGGTTAGAACGCGTGAGGCTCACTTTAATCATGTCCTGGTAACGTAACTTTGGTTTCCCCACGTGCCGCTTCCCAATACTCAGCTGACCGTATAAAAGTTGTTTCGGTATCCGCGCCGAATCCATACGGCTCACATGACCGAGCCATCTCAGGTGTCGCAGTAAAAGTATGCCGTCCATATATATATATATATACATATATTTTATATATATATATATATATATATATATATATATATATATATATATATATATATATATATTCATAAGTTGGCGGCATCCGGTTTCGGATTTGGCTGTCAATGCGGCCAGCCACAGAGCGCCTGCGCATACAGAGGGACTATGGGTGGCTTGCGCTGCACCATCCACAGCTCCAACCACACACCCCACATCCGGTGTAAACCCGAAGAAATAAGACTGGAAAGCATGTGGATGCGAGCCACGTTTCATCAACGGAGTCGGCCAACCCTCCTTCACAGGTAAACACAAACACGCTGTATTTGGAGAACCAAGCGCACACAAGGCGATGGCTGTATCGAAGTCCGCTTCACACTGGATGGAATCATTTTTTGAGCCTAACAAGACCCCGACGACCGTGTACACCGTCTCCCCAGCAACGATTCATAGTCTCCTGGAGCCAGTAATTGAGGTGAAGGGTGTTAGAGAGATAGGCACCTTGTCAACATGCACATCAAGTGCAGCCACGCTGGGGATATCAAACAACCAACACAGAAATTAAAGGACCGCAAACACGCAAAACTGACACAGAATATGCAGCAGAGTAACAGAATTGAACAAACCAAATAAAGTGGAATGGCTTTTATCCAGATTAAAATGACCTAGATTAAGTGTAAGTTGGTTTAGCCCAACTGCGGTAAAGAAGCATCATGAATGCAACATCAACCTCAGCATGAAGTTGGACACTTTACGTGGCACCAACCCTCGAACACACCAGTTCATGTCGGGTAGTACGATGAATTGTCAGATGACTTCCAGACAACAAATAGTATCCAATAGCTTTAATTCTTGCGAGGATCCATGATACAGGTATTGTGATGCTGTCCGGGAAGAAAAGGGGTTGATCTGGATATTGCGGATGGCATGGTCTTGATGGTTGACAATCGCGAGTAGGGGCTGCTAGCTCCTTACTCATATATCAGTAACCCCGCGCAAGATGTGAACAAGAAAGCTAGAACAAGTAGCACTGAGGGTTATGGACAACTCAATAGGGTCATCCGAAATACCACGTGAGCCGGCAGTGAGGCTACTGACCCTAACCCAACAGCTTATGACGGCTCCACGTCGATTCATTCATGACAAGATTATCAGTGACATAGATTTTCTGGTTTTCAAAATGCGCATGAGTCGGCTGGACACTAAAGGTCTAAGGAAAGGAGGCAAATTCCGTAGTTGGTTTGATTTGTCAAACCGAAGTGCGGTGAACTTGATAATAATAACAGTAGGAACAATAACAATAATAACAGTAAAGGGGAGATAAACTAGAATCAAAAGCGTCAAATGGAATATCTAAAGGTGGGAAATAAGCGAACTAACACAAGGCACTGGTATCGTGAGTGACAGAACAGCAAACTAAGGTGAACGATCCCGAAGACCGCGCATCAAGGAAAAAGGAGAAACACAAACTAGAATTGGCGTATTGATGAACTTCTTCATGCTTACTTATCGGGTAATCACTGGCTGGTCACCTTGAGGTTTCGCCAACACGGTGCAGTATGGAGAAACAGCACGCATAAAGGCCGCCGGTTTCCAGGTGGGCGGAACAGGTGACCTAGATGGTACAGTTAGTTCGAGACCGGCCGACACTCTCTACTGAGGCACAAGAGTCTGTTGACCAACCCCGGATAACGAACTTCAGCATATCTTACTCGGTTATACCGTCGAATATGAGTGACATTTCGCAATAGTCGGATCATTCATCATTAGAATACAAGTTGGCTAGAGGTGGAAAACACCTCAACTAATGTGCCGCAAAAGTCGGGAGCCAAACAACGTCAGTTTCATAATATCCTCGGTATGTAGCGGCCAAGCATCAGTTCTATACAGTAACAATGGCAGGGTGACAGCGTTGTGGACCCTTCCTTTAACCAATGAGCCAATATCCCATCGGATCTGGTAGAATGCTAGCACTTATTCTAGATGCGTGGTAGCTGCCTGGCTGAGTCTAGCTGCGATGAATCTTCTCCAAAACACGACAAACCCCCCGTGCTACTCACTAATAGTCAACCTACACGCCACCTCGATTGGTGGCGACTTGCGAAGGAAGTCGTAGCTCTGGGGTCCAGCACTGCCCTCTGCACGTCCATAACCTGCATCTCATTGGAGGATGAATAGTGCCATATCATAGTTAGACATCAGTACTGACGCTCCGCCGTCATCGCCAATGATTCAGTGGCATAAGGCGCTGGCTCGTAATAGTAAGGTCATGGGTTCGAATCCGGTGGGTGCGCGCTACCGAAGAGTCCCAACAGGACGAAATGACCGTCTAGCGCTTTCCTGGATGTGTGGTGGCTGTATGACTGCGACAAACCTCCATTCAGTTAATGCGGTCGCCAAGTTGTAGATGGAAGAATAGAGTGACTTTCATGCACTTCCTAAGCACATAGACCTGAGGGGCGAATTTCCTGTAGACCCCTACACAAGGCTCGGGAGTCCCCGTACAAAAAATTCACAACAGGAAAGGATTTATAAGGTAAGCCATTCAGAGACAAGCCTCCTCAACAGAAGCAAAGACAGTATCTAATTCGAGGAAGAATGCTATGGTATAGTGAAGAAGGAATTGTCCACCCAACAAATGAGAGTCACTACCTAACGGCTGGCGGTATCTAATCGTCGGCGACATGTTTTTACCATTGTGCTGCCTCAAGAGTGGGGATTTCAAGGACGAAAATCCCACGTAGAATGCATTAACACAGTCTCGCTCTGGACTTTAAAAATACGGGAATGCCGTTAAGAAACATGATTTGATCTATTAGATCTCAAATTCTGTTCAGTTACTGACTCCTTACACCGGATCGCGAAACCATAAAACAGCTGGCCAGTGCTCTTGCATATGACTGACGACCGGCCAAGTGAAGGTGTTTGCGCGATGGACCGTTCAAATAAAGAAACAAAATATTCTAAATTGAACTAAAACTCACTGTGAACGGAATCTCGGTTAACTCTGCACACGAAGAATTCCAAACATTTTGTAATGTGACCACGGATACGAATACCCTTGCCGAATGCATCGACAGAATGCTCGGACACCATGGCTAGCAAAGTTGGTGGATCCAACGCACGGTGTCCCAATCGGTTCTTCAGAGACGTACATTTCCTGCATTCGGCATGAAGCGGTCCGATGGTAGGAGAATAAGCTGTATGGGAGGGCGGAGAGAAGTCCAATCGCGAGAGGGCCGAAGCAGCCAGTGTGATACGACCGCTGGAAAAGCCACCTCTTCGTAGGAGGTGAACATTGTATGCTCGAACAATGGCACCGGGGCCGATACAAAGGGGACTACTGTACGCTGAAGAATTGGTTGCAGGCAGGCAGAGTCGAACAATTTCCGTCAAGTTTGCCGCATCGCGATCCGACGTTAATGAGGTGAGGTCATGTGATGTCAACCATAGGGACAGACCATCGGAAGAGTAGGATTTGTGAAAAAGAAGGGCTTTAAAATTGATCGACTCGAATTGGTCAGCGTTTGGCAGACATGGGGCCAAACGAAGCAAAGTGGTGACATGATTCATGCTGAGTAAATGATCACAGTGTAAAGAATCTGTGCCGCTCTCCTCCCGTTCGGCTAGAAACAGCTGATGCAAATCAAGGCCGAGTTCGGCTGTGGTCAGACGATAGACGGAGTCTAAGCGAAACGCATAATACCAACATAGAGCGACTGGTCCAGTGAGACGTAGTTTGATGGAGGAGCTGTGGTTTTCGGGGTGAAATCCCCTCACATCATAACAAAAGGTCAAATTCGGGCATTGTGATGGGAGTTGGTGAATGCTACCCAACTGGTCCAAACGAAGACGAATAACGCGAGTGTCTGTGTCGATGTTGGGGACGTTAAGGCGACATAATGGTGCTGAGAGTTCGGGCAATTCAAGTGGAACAACCGTCTCAGCGACAATGTATGTGCTGGAAGTACAGGTGTTCGAGGATCTGAAAATAAAACGAGAAATAGTCGAAGTATGAAGGAGACCTAGTCACTGACAATCGCGTCGTCATGATGAGGAGCAAGGGTGGCGAAGTTAAGGTGGATAGATAAAACAAGAGATTCACCTGAAAAATGATGTAAAAGCAGGTTGGGCACAAGAGGACTACCAGCTTTAGCATGATGATAAACTGTGCAGGACGTTCAACTGGCACTTACCTAGGTGGATGATATGCGCGAGTAGTTCCTGGCCTAGCGGAGGCCAACCATATATGGAGGTTAGCGGTCGGCGGGCGTGCAAAGATCGTGGCTTGGACAATCCCAACGGAAGCCAATGTGATAGCAGGTGGGTCACTCAAATCACACTGCGGGAATTTTTCGAGGTCAGAATCGAATTCCGAGGTGGAAATGCCGCATATAGAATACGAGCCGATTGCTGTATCCTGTTTTTAGCTCAGCATCTGAAGTCACTATTATTACTACTACGCTTGTGCACGAAGGACGTCCAGTTTAACGAATGGTGCAGCCATGGACAATCCATTTGGGCCTGTGTTGACTGATTTGTTCATGGACCACGTGAGAAACACTAAGGTACGTCCTTACACACACGGATACTCATAGATGACATGTTCACCGTTGTAGACACTGCTAAGCAAGTAGAACACTTACAATGGGCTCTAAACACAACTGTCATTCCGCGATAGAATTTGCAACAGAAAACAAAGCATCCGGGACCTTTCATTTTATGGATGTCAGTCTAAAGAGAAAGCCAAATGGTACATTCATGCGACCTGTTTATCGCAAACATACCTGGACAGGACAATACATTAACCTTAACAGTTTCTGTCCTGTGAATTACAAACGACTTCTGGTTCGTACCATTTTGCGAGAACTCGCAAGAGCTGCTCTGAAGAAACGATTGCATGTGAGCTGCAACAAGTCTCCTCGACATTACGTGAAAACGGCGTTCAAAAGCGAACGTGAAGACCAGGAACAAACGGGTGCCAGACGTCCCTGAGAAAAAAGTGTTCATAACGCTACCATGCAAAGGCGACAAAGATGACAAGATTCCGACACCGTCTCCGTCAATCCATAAAAAGTGTTAATACGCTGCTGAGATTGTGCTTTAGTACCAAGTTAAGAATATGCTGTTTAAATCCAAGCTGGAGAGGCCAAACTCTTGAGTTACCGCACCAGGCGTTTACCTGTACTTGTGGCAATGAGTAAGTTGGCCGAACTGAGAGGAGACTGTTCACGAGGATTTTAGAGCATATTCAGCGAAATCTAGTCGCGAATGATCCGAAGTTGTATGCCAGTTGGATCACCCGACATATACGTAACTAAAACATAACGTTGCAAAGAGATCTCTTCGGTAGTTCACATCGAGCAATTACAACTACAGGACTGATAAATGCAACAGTAAACTGGTGAAGGTAAAAAATGAGGACGGATGGGACGGTTTGAACAGATTTGGCATGTTCGTTCGATGCTCAAATAAATGTAATCAGGCGACGTCGTAATAGGACTAACCGAGAGCAAAATGACTTGTGTAAACATAAGAGGCAAAAATACTAACAATATAAAATTAGATAATTACCTAAATAAACAGCACCCGGTTATGCGTAATACTCCGGGGGAATACTTATCATCAGGGCCATGGCAAAGTCAAGGGTTACACAAGCACCCTATGCTTGCATAGCTCTGGTTGTGTTAGCCGGATCGCGATGGCTTCAGCCGTCCGTAAGAGGCATTTCCTTAACTCTTTCGGGTATCACCTCGGTACGACACAATACACCTTGAAAGCATCTTTGGTCAAAATCTGATGTCCACTTTGAAGCAAATGTTCCAAGATCGACCTGTTGATGATTCTGAGCGTGCCTCTCCGCAGTGACCTTGGACAATGCTCAGCCATTCGTACCGACAGACGCCTGGTCGTATGTCTGAGGTACTTGGCACCAGAGATGCAAGTAAACTGGTAAACAATGTACGATGCGGACGACACTGGCAGTCTGTCTTTAAGACGTTGAGCTATAAAGAGTGCGGTCTCCGCAAGTACGTGCCTTCACCAGTTTACTGTTGCATTTATCAGTCCTGTAGTTATAATTGCCTGATGTGAACTACAAAAAAGAGATCTCTTTGCAAAGCTGTGTTTTACTTTTCCATGGGCATTATCTACATACTTAACTGCCCCATGTGTGAGAACCCTAGTGAATCATTTCGAATACTAAATAGACAGAGCGTTGTCCGTCTGCGTCAGTTCGATGGGGCTTCGGCAATTAGGCGGCTAAAACCCACTTGGTGTAAACAGATGGAGTTCGTCGCCAGTCTCGCCTTGTCTTAACAAGGCCGGTGGCCACATTACTCTAAGCGACATGTGGGTCAAGGACAGTATGAAGCCAACACAAGCTCTTATAGTTCGACAAACACTGCAGTGAGGAACTAGAGGGTTCAGTACCAAACATCAGGAGGTGGACTTCGACATTAGCCACCCGGTGCTCACATTAGATGTGAGCAAGCGCCAGTGATCAACTACACTACATATCGGTACACCGATCTGATGAAGTGTTACACACCAACGCGGTGATATCCCGTCGTCTACGCTGGTGACCGAAACTTAGAAAAGCCGCACGGGTCGTCTTGTTGATACGGTAAGTGACCACCTCCCACTGATGTGACCACTAGACGTGACACAACTGCCAATGAAAATGAACCGATCAATCACATTCAGTGGCTGTTTGCTGAGTGAAAAGACCGGTGGAGTGTTAGCCCGGTCGATGCCTGCACATTGTAGGTGTAAAGCATGCCCACGAGTGCAGTGCTCTGCACCAGTCCATTCGGAAGCGATTGTACGGAGGATGGATTCGACCCAACGAGTGATATCTTGACAACGACAATCCGTCAGTGGCCTCGTCATTTACGAGTAATGCTTCATAGGGACACGGTGGCATATAGTAGTAATCCCTTGGCTTCTTCGAGTATCATCAGATACCTCGCAGATGCATACTGTGGTGTTGACCGTGCTGCTCCAGCGTTGCATATATATGGTTGGCGGCATCCGGTTTCGGATTTGCCTGTCACTGTGGCCAGCCACAGGACGCCTGCGCCTACAGAGGGACCATGGGTGGCTTGCGCTGCACCACCCACAGCTCCAACCACATAACCCATATCCAGTGTAAACCCGAAGGAATAAGACCGGGAGGCATGCGGATGGGAACCACGTTTCATCAACGGAGTCGGCCCACACTTCTTCACAGGCAAACACAAGCACGCTGTATTTGGGGAATCAACCGCACACAAGGCGGTGGCTGGACCGTAGTCCGCTCCACACTGAGTGCATGGAACCGCTCTTTGAGCCTAGCACGGCCACAAGAACCGTGCACCCCGTCCCCTCCAGCAACGACCAACTGTCTCCTGGAGCCAGTATGAACGAGGTAGTGGGTAATAGACAGGTAGGCACCTTGTCAACATACACATCAAGCGCAACCACACCAGGGATATCAAACAACAGCCATTCACTTTAAACGACAAGCTGAAATAAAATAAATCCAATAATGCATACAGATACGGTGGCATAACTCTTCGCTAAATTACCATATGAAGTAAGTTGGTTAGCAACGAATCCGTGATAAGTAAGAAATGTCCACAAGTTACTTAAAAATGCTACAAACGCAACAAAATTACCGAATATAAGCGCAATTAGCGTAAGCAACGTGGCCAGTTAATAGAACATTATTCAGGTAGGCAGAACAAACCAAATAAAGTGGAATGAAATGTATCCAGCTTAAAAAGACCTAGTTTAAGTGTAAGTTGGTTTAGCCCAACTGCGGTGAAGAAGCATCAAGAATGCAACATCAGCCTCAGCATGGGGCATTGCATATATATATATATATATATATATATATATATATATATATATATATATAGAGGGGACGGGGTACACGGTCCTTGTGGCCATGTTAAGCTCGAAGAGTGGTTCCATGCACTCAGTGTGGAGCGGACTACAATCCAGCCACGCCTTGTGTGCACTTGATTCCCCAAATACAGCGTGCTTGTGTTTGCCTGTGAAGGAGTGTGGGCCGGCTCCGTTGATGAAACTTAGCTCCCATCCACATGCCTCCCGGTCTTATTCCTTCGGGTTTACACTGGATGTGGGGTGTGTGGTTAGAGCTGTGGGTGGTGCAGCGCAAGCCACCCATGGTCCCTCTGTAGGCGCAGGCGTCCTGTGGCTGGCCACAGTGACAGGCAAATCCGAAACCGGATGCCGCCAACCATGTAAATCACAATCTGTGGTACAGATATTGTGCCATGGAAATCATGGCAGAATAAGATAACAGGATATGAATTGGAAGAGCAAGAAGATGCACCTTTTTGGACTAAGTTTAAAACTCATTGCTTTTGAGTTTTTTAATTGAGTGTTTTATTAGGGAAGGGAAATCATCGCAATCATCGCAGAGATACATGTTCGCCATTGACGTCGATCTTAAAGGGCTTTTAACGAGCGACACTCAGTATCTCTGAAATCCCAACCGAGGAGTCGAGAACAACCGATCGAGGCCAACTGTTTCGTCAGCTTTTTCATGTGGCCTCCCAAAGCTGTAGGTTGTCCACTACGTCACATCTCCAAGCCTTGCCCAACAAACGCGAACAACGCCCGACGCGGAAGACGATGAGCGGGCATGCGCAGTACGTGTCCAAGCCACCGCAGCTAACGCAGCGGGACGAGCTCCTCAAGCGAGTGGCTGCCTCCACCTAAGACACACTGTTTAACTGCCACATTAGTTACGTGGTGCAGCCACTACACACGGGTAATGGAACGCAAGCAACCGTGCTTGAAGACAGAGAGTCGGCGCAGCTCAACAGTATGCACAGACCAAGTCTCGCAACCGTACAACAGTGCAGCGCGGACAGTCGCACAATAGACTCATCCTGTGATGGATAGAGACGGGTCATGGCGGCGCCACAAGTGCTTCAGCCTGGAGAAAGCGAGACGACCTTTTGAGGTACGCATGGAAATCTAGTCTCCAACAGCTCCACCAGCAGCGACGCAGCTTCCTAGGTAGACAAAACTCTCCGTAACCTCGGTGTCACACTACTAAGAGTGATCTAACTATGGGACGATATCGTGCCGCATCAAGAAATGACCGCGTGGCGCGGCAATCAAGGACTAGAGGTTGGTCATCAGAGGTGACACAGTAACCAAGATAAACGCATCGACGAGCAACTTGGAATACTTTTGCGACGACTGTGGGAAATCATGGCGTACTAACCAGATCCTGCATCAGTTAGGTTGGATTTTGAAAACGTGAAGAGCGTGCGTGTGAGCAGTGCCCGATCTCATGTTACTCAGTGATGTTAGTATAGCGACTGGATCTCGCTCCAAAAGTAAAAGGTATAACCAGTACGCAGGTACGTAAAATCGACACTTTGCTGCCAAACGATCGTCACTAGTTGCGTGTGGGCTAGGGGGATACTTCGAGGTCGCTCGCAGTTACGCAGGATGATCGACGGTAGGGTACAGTTTTTCTACCACCTGTAGCGACCAAATTAGGCAGAAACTGGGGAAATAAATGCTGGAATCGTGTTAAGCAGCTTTGGTAACCTATAAAAAGGTCAAAAAGTGTGAGGAACTCTGATTTTTGCAATCGTTGCTTAGACGAACAGTTTTTCAGCTAAGTTATAAGGGGCACAGACAGCCTGGATATAGTCTAATGGTCTGCGTGCCGGACTGCCAATTGCGCGGCAGGGGTTCGAATCCTGGGTGGGCTGCAAAACTCAGTTCATCAGGGGCAAGCGTTTATTCGGCAGTCGTCGGCGAAAATTACAGGATGTTTGGCAAACCAAACTCCTCGATATAAGCTGCACGTTTAAGTCCATAACTAACGACCCTTCTAAGACGATGAGGTTCCTCCTTTGCTTCAGTTAAAGTAACAGTGAACCATTCACACGAATATCGGCCAATCCCAATGCAGTAGTCGAATCCGTTAAGCCTACATCCCATTGGCTGTCTGGCTCGCTCAGTTGGTCCATCCGCTCAATCTGCTCTGACACTCCCATCACAGGGTGTGCCCCCTGTACTCTCTCCGGCGGTACATATACTGATTGTACCGATACAGAGATTGCGATGGCCCCTGCGCAAGGATGATAATCGAAATTTAATACGTAGTTCAAGCTGGTAACACCAGTCTTCTCATTGTCTTATTTAGATTGATACAGGGAACTCCGTGCTTTAAAGTTTAAAATTGTTATACGCTTGAATCTCTACAGGGAGGCTTCTCCGCATTCCAACGTCATTCTTGCACTTTATTGTAGATTAGGACGGAACACCAAGACGTAGGTTTACGCAACACTGCTTATCAAATTTATTCGCGTGTCAGTATTTTCCATTTCGTGCACGTGAGACATTAGCGAGCTACCACATTGCTTATGTGGCTTTCATTAACTATGGAGGCTCACACGGAATAATCACTTCATCTCCCGCATCACGGGATGTTTAGTGGCCACTTACGGCATAAAATAGCTCATATCCTTTGCCGTTAAGCGGAAATCCGTGGTAGAACAAGTTTAAATTTGAATACCCGCCGTCCTCTGATCTACTAGCGCGCATTCCAAAGTTCGCGGGGTAGAATTCCCCGCTACCAAGCATTGACCTGTGGATCACAATCCAGGCGCCTTATTCACACAGGCACTGACCGACCAGATTCCAGAAGGGTTTAATCGTTCAAGTACCTCTAGGTTGTTCGTGAAGTACTATGGAGAACTTTAATTTAGATGAAGCGCCCGAGAAAGAATTGCTGTTGAACATTTCGGTGACAAGACTGACGAGAAAACAAGAAGCCGAACAGCGCTGAAGCAGCCCACGATAGCAAGCGAGACATCAACCAAATCTGGGTGTCCAAAGAGCGATAAATCCGCAATTGCGACGTTTGTGTGGAAGTGTATACATAGTTGAACACTGGGACGTACAACGAGCATTACAATCTTGTGTGAAAATTACTATTCCTACCGAGCAGCCCACTGTCATGTGATGATGAAATTGTGGTTCCTGGGATTAAAATCAAACTGTTAACAGTTGATCAACCTTTGTTAAACCAAGAAAGCTGTCCACAGATAGAAATCATTCCAGCTGGTTTGCAGTACTGTTAGGTATTTGGTGGCTTAGCCGGAGGAGTTATGACTCTGGGAACAAGAATGTCCTCTGTACACTTAAAACACGCCATATAGCAGCTACGAAACCGTGATAAAGGTTCAGAGGCGTTAACCATCATCATCACTATACACGTTAGCTGTAGGCGGAAACACTTCAGCTATGGTGCCGCAATACAATAGAAAAGAAAAAAAGTGGGAGGCACGCAGGTTGAGTCACCGGTAACGGATAGACATGGTTCCGGAGAGCTAACAGCCGGCTATTGTGCCCAAAAAGTCATATAATGCCTATTACCTGAGATGGTGGTTGGAGCAGGAGGCTAAGCGAAAGGAGAGGGACAAAAGAACACAACACAAACGCATTGAGGTCTGCTCGTAGCCATGTCAACAAGTGTACCCAATCAAACGTCTTTCGGACACCAACCAGGAAGCCGAGAGGCTCCAACCGACGCCAACTTCGAAGTAAGGGCCTTCATTCCACTTGAGCAAGTCAAACAGATATCGGTCGAGAGGGTCTCTAATGTTCGGGCAAGTGCTGCTTGTTGACCGATCTGTAACAACGCGCGTACCTTGAGGCATGCCAATCTGAAGGAGGATCGAGGGCTCCAAATGGAAGCCGATGAACTGGGTTTAACCGCTTGGTTAGACATAGGCTTGATGATAGAGCAAGAGTGACGCTCTGCGTTTGCATGTGAGTTAAAACTAGAAGATAAACGCCTATCAAAGCATGGTGGGGGAGCGCCAAGAATTGGAGGGTTGAAAACGAGGGGTATAAAAGTGAAGTTTAAACGGGACCAATAGGTAGAAAAAGCGTAAGAGGAGGAATAAGAAAACGAAAAGGCTTGAGCAGTAGCATCTAAACTCCTATCCACCCTGCTCGATGCAGCAGATAGGGCACCGTTGATTATCCTCTGCGGTGGCCAGAGCATCAAGAAATTGTTTGAAGTAAGATTCATAGTATTGCGCACGCAGGATACTGTCAGGTTGCCCAGGCCTAGACAGGAGAACGATCAGGGTTCTCAACTAAAGCCTTTGGTTCAAAAACCTGACTGCAAGGCAGCGGGTTTGACAGTGGACAACAAGGAGTCTGTTTTAAGGAATAAGGAGCCACCCTCATTCCAACCCCCAAGCTGGAGGACCAGGAGGCTGAGTTTGTCTAGCCTTTAACCATTGACCAACCTGGTATGAGTGGCTCTGAAGGTGCAAAAAAGCACCACCCAGCGTAGGTCAATGGATCGCTGAGGCACACAAGCCATTGCACCAAGGTAAGGTTCAGCCTCATTACGATGGTTCACAGGCAGTACCCGTGGCTAAATGGATTTGGACGTTGCCTCGTAAGAGGACAGTTGTATAGTTGAGTTCGGAAGGATTCGACACTGACCGTCTAGCGGCTTACGGATGTGGTGACGGTTAGATGGGATGTAATTGCGACGAATCGCCCTAAAATTGCCTCAAAATACCTGGTTAATCCCAAGCAAATAAGTCTAGTTGTTACGGACCCAACACAATCTGCGTTATTGGTAAGTAGTAGGGGATTTATTCGGTTTTGTGAAGATTCGTCGCAGTTAGACACAGACAGACAGCCACCACACATCCAGGAAAGCGCTAGACAGCCGTTTCGTCCTAATGGGACTCGTCACGGTGGTCCGCTGCCGTCGCCCATGGCTCAGTGACATAAGTCGCTGACCCGCAAGAGTAAGGTCGTGGGTTCGAATCCGGCAGGATTCGGCGAGTGCGCGCTACTGACGAGTCCCAATAGGACGAAACGGCCGTCTAACGCTTTCCTGGATGTTTGGTAGCTGTCTGTCTGAGTCTAGCTGCGACGAATCTTCAAAAAACAATCTGCGTAACATAACTGTTGGAAGAACACCCTAAGGAAATGATCTGTCAAAAGACAACCTTTTCCCATGAAATTCAGTGGAATAATGTAGTTCGTCGATCAAAAAAAAAACGTTCTTGAACAATCTGATGTTTTTACTGATAAGTTAAAAATGTAACAGGACGAGGAATGTTTAAGAATGTTACCGGGGGCTTATAAATATCACTTATCTGTGCCATTTCACTACCATGTAGTTCGTGAATATTAAACTTGTAACTACAGCGTCGCCTTATGGACCAACCAACTGGAACGGTCGAGGTTAAAACAGCCAATCAGAGCGACATGATGCGACCTTTGAGAGCACAACAACAGGTAAAAGGCAAAATCGATGTATTAAACGAGTCAAATTTTCAGCCATTACATCAAAAGGTTTAGCAGGAGTAATGGAAATTCGTGGATACACCCGCCCAAAACATTGGGACTGAGGCACGCAGTAGGAGGAGCATTGAGGTAATTCAGCAAGAGAAAAAAACAACAACGAAATACTCACGGCGTAGTTTCACAGACAAGGAGCCAATTGAGTAAGGCGACAGCGGTCCCGTTACTGGGCAAAGGGTGATCCATGATGGATTCGTGGTAACGGTTGATCACGAGTGGAAAACACACGGAACTGTCCGGCGGACGTTGGTGAGGGTGACGACCTGGGAGCGAATGAAGGCAATTGACCTGAAAGTAGCCATCGGAAGAGGACCAAAGCAGGCGACCAAACAGGACTGGAAGAGCTGCAGAACCACTGGTGGATGGGGTTCTACGAGCCACCAATGTTTGTGTGCACCAACTGTGGTCCGGTGAGGTGTCATCCGAACTGGTTCCACAATAGAGAAAAAAGGTAGATTAGAAGACAAAGAACGAACGCAAATGAGTGCCGCGTAAGCGCGCAAAAATAAAAGATAAAGCGCTGCTGACCAAACGAGGAGAATTGTGCTCTTTAAAACCAATTTAGAGAGAAAAGCGACCAACTATAACTGATTGTAATGTCCTCGTTCGACTAAGGAATCACGTCAGTTATCTGGACGTTAATAACCCCCATTTGGAGCCGCTATCAGCGCCATACACGCCCAAGATTGTGGCTGATCGCTTCCTCAGCCGAAGAATTGGCGTTGTACTACCTCACAAAATGCTGGACCTCGAGCAAAAGCTATTAACAAGAAAAATGATTTGCGAGGCAAATTGGTAGTTTGTTCTGTTCGCCGCTGCCTCGGGAGATGAACTTCATTGGTCGAAGACCTTTCAACTTTTATCGCCTCATGGACCTCCGGAGGTGGCTGCGCATTGTCGATGCCACCTTGGAACAAACGGTGCCGGTGGTCAAACCGCATACCCACTTAGGCAGCCCAGGCAACCGGTCCTCCCGCTAGTAACTCGGAAGTTTGGCCCGAGGCAACCTGAAGCTAATTGGCTAGCCAATGAGTTAGCTAATGGGAGCATTCCACCTTGGAGTCTACCAATGAGAATGATCTATCTTGTGGTCCACCAGTGAGCGAACGCTGCTCAACCGACAAGCGTAATTTCAAACATCTAGTAGTTACTTGAACGCAAGGACTTTTAACTAGGTTATTCTCACAAGACCTCACTTTTGGCTACCGATACTGTTGGCTGTGTGTTCATCAGTGACTTTTTTCCAAAAGCCTTTGTCCTATGATCTGGGAAGTCGGCCGGTTCAGAGTGCGCAACAACAGCAGAGCGTCCGTTGCTGCTGCCGACCTATGCTCTACGGTGTCTGTCCATGACGTGCTCTGCTGAGTTGTACCCGATTCTTTTTAAGGATTTTGCTCGCTATGCTGATTTCATAACACCTTTCACCCTTTCGGCCTTCAAGCAGTCCCTTCCGCCAACGTTCTTCAAATTATGGTCCTGGTTGTACCCATACTTCTTGTCCATAAAGCTAGAGGTGGGAGTTTTTCGATCCTTAGCATTCTGTTCCGCAGTCGATCGTGTAGAGAATCGGCCGTTGCTATCCGGGGCTGCAGTAGAACTGTACCGGTTGATAGCAACATTCTTGTTCAGAGACGAGATAGCCGATGCACCGAACTTGCACCAATCTCGGTAGACAGCATGCTTCTTCGCTCCAACAGCATTATGTAGGGATCCTCGTGAGTCTCCTTGGCTTTGGTGAGCACATTCTTGGCCCCTTTCACTGCCGATGCAACCTTTCCGTTTGAGTAGCTATGATATGGGCTGGTGAGCCGGTGACGAAAATCCCATTTCTTGCTAAAAGCGCGGAACTCTGCGCTACTAAATCGCGGTCCGTTGTCGGAAATCACCATCTCGAGTATTCCATGCCGAGCGAAATGGCACCGTAACTTGTTCATCACGGCTTGCGTGCTGGTCGTCGTAAGAGCACCAATCTCGAAGTAGTCACTGAAATAATCAAACACAAACAAACAACTTTCCATCATGAGCAAAAATGTTCAGTGTGACCATCTGCTAGGCTCTGTCAAGAACGTCAAGAAGCATCATCGGCTCTTTCGGCTGGTGCACATCGTGTGCCTTGCATGCTAAGCAGTTTGATAGGTAATCACATATTCGGCTGGTCATTCTCAGCCACAATAGTAGCTCTCTTGATCTTGCCACACAGTTGTTGATTCCTAAATGTGCACAGAGTGTACTAGCTCCAGTATCGAACGTTGCAGTGCCTTCGAAACTACTATCCTGTTGCCATTGAATATTAATCCATTTTGGGCAATAAGTTCGTCGCGAAAATGGAAGAACGGAGTCAGCTCCATACGCAGCATTTCCCTGCCTTTGGGCCATCCGTTCATTATCGTTTGCTTCAGAAGCGTGCATAGCTCGTCGTCCTCGGTGCATTGTTGGTGCTGTTGGAAACTTACCGCAGTGACAGTGATCAGCTGTGATGCGTGTGTCTGACAGATGCGACCTTGACAACGTGTCCCCAATGTGCATCAGGGATCCTGGTTGTTAGATGATGTTCAGGTCATATTTTTGCAAACGAATAGGCATCCTTTGCATACGGTGTAGAACAACCTTGAGTGACTTACTAACGATGGATACAAGTGGCTTGTGGCCAGCGGAGACAGTTGTTTTGCGGCTGAACGTATAATCGTGGAACCGTTCTACGGTGTAAACTAGCGCCAGCATTTCGGCTTAATTTCTACGTAACGACGCTCAGCCACTGTCAGCGAGCGACTGTGAAAATCGAGACTTACTGCTTTGTATAAGTACAGCTCCAATGCCGTACTGACTACTGTCACACTGAATTTCGAGTGGAAACGACGGAGCAAAGTAGGCAAGAACAGGCGTTTCTGTAATTAATTCCTTGATCTACCGAAAGCCAATACCTTGCTCAGAGCCCCAGCGTCATGTTTCACCCTTATGGGTCAACTTGCGAATCGGCATCATCACAACAACCAATCGCGGCAGGAAACGGCTCAGGAAATTGACCATCTCGTTTTAGCCTGCTAACTGCCTTCGCATCAGGGAGGAGGCATCGCGTTTATAACCCTGATTTTCTATGGATCCGGTTTCAATCCTGTCGAACTCAGCACATGTGTATGAAATGCGTATCTCGACTTTTGCACGTTTCAGTTTGATGCTCCTTTCACTACAGCGTTGCAGAAACTGGTGAGGATGACGATCGTGTGCCTCTGGAGTAGCACCAAAAACTAGCACGTCATCTGCCACATAAAACACCCCGGGTGGATCGTCCAATGCTTGCAGCAGCCGCTTATGTAATATCCAGCTGGATACTTTCAAACCGAAGGGTAAACGAAGCAATCTAAAACGTCCAAAAGGCGTTCCAAATGTGGTCAGAGAGCTCGACTTTTCGTCAAGTGCTACGTGCCAGAAAGGTGGAGCGAAGCTGACTTTCGTGAACAGCTTTGCCTTCGATAACTCCGGTATAATATCGTCTAGTGTTGACAAGGTATAGTACTCTCTTCTGAGCGAGAAATTGAGCGGTTTTGTTTCGATACACACACGCGAATCACCGAAGTTCCTAATGACGATTGCCACTTGGCTTACCCAATCTGTTGGATGATCGACTTTGGCTATGACACTTAAACCGGACAAACGCTGCAGTTCTTCAAATAACCTTAAGCGCAGAGCTATGGGTACCTTTCTAGCTGGCAAAGCCACTGGGATAGTAGATTCACTTAACGACTAATGGGCGTATCCCTTGAATTTCCCAATAACCCCATCAAACACAGCAGGACACAAATCGACAAGATCTTCGGCAACCCGACACGAGTAAACAAAGCGATGATGGTTAAAAGAAACAAAACCAAGGAGCTGGATGAAATTAATGCCAAAAATGGGCATAAGATTTGCTGATACAACCAAAAATCCAAGCTGATGTTCCGTTCCGTACTTCAGGATGACAGCCATCACGATAGCTTTCCTTTCGGTTGTAGTCTTAAGCAGTGCCCCATTTTGAGACATCTACGTGCTTCAGTACATTTTACTCCCGCACAATGTCTTCCGGGCAGTATGATGACGGTGGCTCCCGAATCGAGCTAAAAGCGAACTGAACGTTTCTGAATTAACAGCGTAGCAAAATGCACATCTGACCTCCAAAATGCTTCATGTTGTTTAATGACAGCGCCTGTGCGTCATGTTGACATTCCTTGTCTACTGCGCTGAGGTTGGCCGCTCTGCAACAGCGAGCAAAATGGTGTTTCTTTGTTCACTTCATGCAAGTCTTGTCTCAAACTAGACAGCTCTCCCTTCGCTTTGGATGTGTATGACCACAAAACGAACAATTAGGCTCTTGCCTCACAGATGGTAGGAGTGGGGTTTCCTTGATCCCCGACACTGCACAAAGTACTTCTGGCGTGCCTACTCGCAAATCCTGGAGCTTCTGAGACATTTTTGTTTCGCTAAGGAAGATGTTCAAACACTGATTCAAGGATAGATTTTTTTTGCCTCAGAAGGCATCGAGTGAGGTTTTCATTTTGTATGCCGATACGATGAGGTCGCGTACAAGGGAACCAAGCATACAAGTACAGAAGTTGCACGATCATGCCAGAAAGTTTAATTCTGTAATGCTGGTGTAGACTGATAAGTACGGTTGCCGATTGCGGTAAAAAAAAACAGCTACCTCCGGTATGTTTCGTTGACTTGGCCTTCGTAACATCTGCCAAATCTCTTGGTTACCTCCGGGATTTCCGGTTCCTGCTCATAGTAATAATATAATAATAATGTGTCAGCTGTAGGTCGTAACGGTGCTTCGCTGTCGTGTGACCATCACCAGTCGCACGTGGGCTGGTATATCGCGATGACACCCACCCCTACGCGGATTCGAACACACGCCGCAAGATTACGAGACAAGCTCGTTACCTCTAGGCTACGGGGCCGACTTCCTACTCATCCGCATCACAGATCCAAAGTCTCAAGCACTCGTCTGGCTTCGTCGCCGACAGCGTGCATGAACATAGCTAGCTGGTAAGGCATCGGATGGGAATATAACTGAGTCAGCGTGAAGAAATCCGTCCACTTCGCTTTCCATATCCTCCAGTTGTCAGGTAGCGGGCTATCCGTTACCTACAGGGCAGTCGGCAGTGGGATTGACGGCTGATCACCAAAAGCAAACGGGTTCCGGTGCGTCGGCTTCTTGTCCTCCGTCACCATATTGTGTTACCCTCGGAGAATCAAGAGGAAAGTCTGGACCACGACCATAAATGATTGTTAAGAAGACTCGTGGTTATTTACAGATTACATACAGTATTACAACGGTGTCCGTCCACGGGCTGGCGACTTTCATCAACTGGCCTGTAACCTCAGTCCCATCCTATTGGTTTGCGCTCATTCTCCATGCGATGCATGCTTATCGAGTACCGCGTGGTCGGT